AACAACAGCATGATTACGCATTGAAACATTCTGTAAAACTGCTACTTATAGTGAGTAAGAAGATGAAGATGTACAAATAAAAGCACAGCGTGTTTTCTTTGAGCATCCTTATTAATGAAAAGGACTGTGAGGCTTCAGTATTAAACAGCTGATGAATGACAGCCATTTACCCCAAATGAATTGAGCCTAGCAAGGTTAGCAGAGTTGGGGGACAGATTTCAAGCCTCTCATTACTTTTTATGGGGACAGATCTTAGATAGGACTTCCTCCTCACCTTCAGCAGGTTCATCCACGAACAGTAGCTTCTAGACACAACTTCTATGTAGGCTGGGGTTTTCAAAGGAGGTAAAGGGACTTGGGTGCTGAAGGGAAGTAGGCACTAAATCCCCACTGATCTGTAATGAGATCATCTTCCTTCAACTTTTAAAGTAAATTCAGCTTTTAATTTACATGGAAAGAGCTGGTACAAATGCACTTGCTGCTTGCCACATCATTGTGAACTGGACTGAGTTTCCACAAATTGTTGGAAATACTTGATTAGTATTTTTAAATTACGTTTTGACATTTTCCTTTTGCAAAGCAAATGCAAACGGAATCAGATTTTGCAACAGCAGAAGCAGGAAAAGCTTTTTGTGGAAAGCGGCCAATCTCCTGGCTTTTCTTTAGAAAGAGATGAGTGAAGCAAAAAAATAAAAAGTTTTTTTTTAAGTAATAAATAGAATGAACATTGTGGAAGTGACAAACTGAAATCAAATACAATGGCAGGGAAGTTTGCAGCTCCAAAGTCTTGAAGTTGTTAGAGTCACCCCATATGCCCCCTTTGGAGCTAAGAACCACAATATTCATCTATACTAGAGATTCACATAGATGGTTTGTGGGAAGCTGAATGGGCTTTCACTGCAAGAAAATATTCCTCTCTTCTGGTCTGCGTAGGAGGACCCAGTTATTCTTTTCTATTTAATCAGCATATTCACTTAGAATGTGCTGACGGTTCTTGGATTTATAAGTAATGAGCAATATACCACTTTCATCAAATTCAAAATGAAATGTACAATTCAGAAAGCTAAACAGAACAATGAAGTATGTGATTATTTAATAGAAAATAGTGATATAAGATCCTCAACCCTGTTCAGCTATCACAGAGTTTTGTTTGTAACATACAGCTTGAAGTCACACCCTTTTCTAAAAACACTGTACATCTAGCAAATAATATTTAGTATGTGCAGTTTTGCACATGCGTTGTTCCTGTAATTATAGTACATGATAATGTATGCAGGGCCAGACAAGAGGAAGTCTGGAACAGCTTTAGACCTAGGAAGGTCTGCTCTGGAACCAATACAGTCCCCTTAGCAGACTGCAAAATTGTCTCCACTAGTAGGAAAATAGAGAAGAGAATACATTACTTCATGTGCAAGTTTTTTGTTATCTAAGGGAGATATTTTTTTACACTATGATTTACAATTATAATTGCAATACAAATGAAAGAAGCCAAAAGTGTGCTCTCTAGACTTAGCAGTAAATATTCATAAGGATTTGAATTTTTAAGTCAGCTTCCATTCAGAAATTTCAGAGTTCCATTTTCTCCTTCTTTCCTCCTTCCCTGTCTTACACCATCAAATGGATTCATTGGTACTGGCTATATCTTACACAAACAGAGAGATGGCAAAATGACATCTCTGGTGGGGACAATAAGGTTGATGCACTGAGCTCACATTTCAGAAGAACCTTATCATCATTTCTGAAGCCATCTCCCCACAGCTTCCGGTTGTAGAAGAGACTGGACTGCTTCCCTACCACTTGCCCTGCCATGCGAGCCAACGCACAGACACCCTGCAAATGTTGTGACCTAGGTACTATTTCTACTGACAGAATTCAATGATGAGCCAAAGCTCTCTTACCACCTTAACCCATAAGTGAGACAACTCATAGGCTATCAGCCATGCAGGGTGAGAAAGCAGAAACAAACAAAGGACAGAGATGAGACTTGCAAGTTAATATTATTAAGTTTTAAGCAAAGAAAGGAAAGCACTGACATTCAAGAAAACGTTAAGAGAAGTAGCAAGATATAAAAGCTAATGGAAGAAGCAAAGGAGCAAAGGGCAGCTCAGGAAGGTCAAGGGTCAGCCTATGCCAAGGAGCCCTGGAGGCTGACATTTCCCCACCTGACTAGTGCCTGGCCAGTAGAGACTCAGTGCATGACTGCCGTAGGGGTGGTAAATACCATGCCTAACAGCATGTTAGTCTCGGCTCATTACTCTATGTATTAGCAATAGTTAGATAATTGTTACCTCTGTGTACTCATAAAGTGTGCGAATCATATCGTCTTGAAGTCTCCAAGCCTTGCAAAAGGGGCCCAAATTAAAGTCACCCACAGATGTGAGGGTTACGATGTTACAGAAGGAAGTAACCCCCTCCCTTAAATATTTAGCCAAAAGCATTAAGTCCTTATACCTACCTATCTATCCATCTACCTATCTATTGCCTAGCATGGAAATAGAGGTGATGGGTTAACTTAGAAACATTTTAATAGTAAGGTAAGTATTACATTTGAGAGATATGTTGCTCTATTTTTTGTCTCAAGGAGAGATTTGGGAATCTTCTTATAAGGAGATGGAGAAATTGGCACATTAAAAGGAGAAATTATCAGCATGGGTTCACTAAAATGAAGTCTTGTCAGAAGAATATGACAGAGTGCATTAATGAGGACATCAGGACAGGAGCCTTTCTGATGTAATATAAGCTAGAATCCAGAAAGTCTCCTTTGACAGCAGTTTTTATGGGAAGCTAATCAATACAGGGCTAGCTTCTGGCCTAACAGTCAGAGCAATAACCTGCATAGAAAGCTAATTGTTGAACTGAGAGCAAAGAAGCATTTGTAAACAGCAGTAAATCTCATTTTTAACAGGGGAAAATGATCTCTAGCAAAATGGAGTAGTAGACCTGTTTTTACTTAGCACTTTTAACATATTGACTGTCTGGAAAGAGGAACAGGTTGATATTCAGATTCTATGCAAAAGGAACATCATAAATCTTATTTAATTAGATAAATATTAATCCTTTCCTGTAATCCTACCATAAAACACAAGAACTATCTGATAAAGGTTAAAAGCATTAGACAGACTGGCAAGATGCTATGCATTTTTCACAGATACTTAGACCAGTTGCTGTGCTCAGAAAGAAAAAAGCTTGAAAACTAAAGTATTAGTTGATTCTCTTTATAGACTAGCAGAGTGATTTTACTCTCTCAAAAATATTCACACCTTTATAGCAGTTGGTTATCTAGAGATTTTGGGATTTGTGTTCTGAACTCCTGAAATTTGTGACCAGCTAAGGATCACCTGAGGAACACGGGCCTTGTTTAAATCTTTCAAAATAAAGTAAATCATTGAAGGTGCTTTTGGCTTGCAGAGTCCCATATAAACGTATTTTTGTACTTGAAAAAAGGTGACTGTGTTTGGATTATTGTTAGCCAGGTTTTAGCTAAATCTCCCAGGCTCATAAAGACAGCCAGCCACCAGGCTCATAGGTTACTTGTGTGAACCTCTGGCCTACTCATGCAAAATGCATATGCTTTCTGTGGCTGGAGGTATATCAGCAAAGCAGACAAGGTTGAATTGTTCTGATACCACAATGATAACTAGAAACTTTTTTCTTCTTGTTGCTGGGGCAGCAAAACTCGTTTTGGGGTGGGGGAGCATGCCACTGTGATGCCCTTCCCTTCTCTCCTGTCTGCACCACTCTTCCTGCGTGCTCAGGATGCTGAGTTTAGGTGGTTCCTCTCCATCCTCTTCTCCTCCCCTCACCTCTCCCCCTGCCCCAGACCTGAAAAAAGCCTGTTGCTCTGCCAAGACAATGCAACACTAACTACAGAAATGGGAGAAGAGGGAAGTGCAGCCAGTCTCCATTCCTCGTTCCTTCTTCTAAGGCTTCTCCCTGTTGCATGACCTCCATGGCTCTTCCCTCTGCAGCAACAAGCACAGCATCATGGTGCTGAGCAAGGCTAATCACAACGACAGCTGAAAACCCTCCTAAAGAGATGGGGACACTTGCCCAATCTTGATGCTTGACCTTCTTGGAACAGCGAGGTCCAGGGGGGCTACCCTCATGCTGCCTCTGAGCCAGTGCTATCTGGACTCGTGAGAGCCTAAGGACCTTTTTTCTCTTCTAAATTAAGATAGAGAATTTACTGCCCCAGCTACTACCTCTTTCAACTGTTTATAATAAACCTGCACTTTGTGACATGTCTGCTCTGGCCAGGGAATTGCCAAAGCTCCATGCAGCTTCTCCTGGCACCTGGTTGCACATAAGATCTAGTTACCTCTGCACTCCTAACAGTGTACATGGAGCCCAGGACTAGAGCCTGAAGGAAAATATATATTCTGAATTGGTAACCTTGCTCTGTAGAGCTATTCAAAGAAAAATGAGGAACTTAAAATAAAATAATGACAAACTGATGTTTGGATATAATTTGCATTTTAGAAAACATCACCCTTCACTGCAAATTCATGAAGAAATATGCAAAGCAAGGAGACACACTGGCATAGTATCCCATCATACTAAAATTTGCAGTTGGGTTTGCAATTGCAAGCAAACATTAAAAGAAAAAAGAAGCAAAAAACCAAAACAAAAAACATGTTATACCCAGGCAGTTTCTGGATAAATACAGGTTTGCTGACAATTGTAAATTAATGCAGCTAAATTAGGCTAAGCACTCATTTAAATTCAGTACTTATTCTGAATTCACTAGTTTCACAGGGTACAAGACAATCAGAATTTCAATGAGAACATTCTGCCAACTTTTGGTGGTGCTACAGCAACAATAAACAGAATACCAAAAAATGGAATAAAGGTAACTTTATGAACGTGTATAATGGTCATTGTATGGCACCGCTTATCCATTTTTGCAGCTCTAGATGCTATATGGTTGACAGGCTAGATCCTCCTCTCCCAAGCTGACCGAAATAGAGTGCAAGCAGAAAGAAGCCAAAAGCTACTAGTACCTTAAAATGGTTCACTGTGATATGAATTCAGTGGTCTCAGCCAAGTCTCCAATGGAGAGATGTCCATGGCCCAGGAAATCAGGGGTCCTCAGGGAAATACTGGACACTGCATGGCCAAGGCCTGACTAGAGATGAGGATTCCACTTCTCTCTGATGTTGGACGTGAATCACTCAGGTCTTTAAAATATGAATGAGAGGATGTTCTGTGAGAATGAAAAATGTGATTGGGGAGGAACGATGGAATGATGCAGGGTAATCGTTATCTCCCTGATCTGGGACATAGCCCTACCAGCTGAGCCACTGAAAATTAAGTGACAACACAATCTTTCATTAATTTAAGGCCCGATTCTATTGTGGCACAATTAATTCCTCAGTTCACAAACAAAAGGTTGACGCTTGGATCCCTCCAGCGCGGGGAGTGTGTTTTAATCTTGCCTTGCAAAATTCCTCTCACCCATTCAACCAAGGCATTTTTTTTCCTGGCAGATGAACAACTATCATTAGTTTTTAATTGTCAGTGTACATCGCAAATAAGTATAGTTGGTGCTCGGGCTAGCCCATTTCTTTGTCAGATATGCAAAGCTATTCTGATTAATCTGATTTACTATAGCACATTTGTCCACAGCAGTGAGCATGCAGAGGGGTTTCCCAGAAAGTGGATCTTCAGGATACAGATAAATACAATGATACTTTGGCAGTAGTGAGCATTGGCCTATAAAAGGGGACTGATGGGAAGATATGACATATAAGAGAAAACCTTCATACTTGTAATCCTTGTAAAGGTGGGCCTTTAAAGAGGGCTTGAAGAGGGCAACAACAAGAGCCCTATAGTACATTAAAATATTGACCTTTTGAGAGCGCTGGAATCTCCAGAGGGCGGCTGAGGCTGGAGGACAAGGTGCATGGGGGAGAACAATAAGGCAGCCTGCTGGACCATCTTCACCCAGATGTTAGGCATATGGTAAATAAAACAGGAAGAATTTGAAATCTTAGTACGTGGATGAAACCACCAGCTCTGCAGGAACATGGTAGGGCAGACTGTAGGACTGGTATATTGGTATCCAGCATGATCAGGAATGACAGACAAAGCAGAAGGGCTGCAAAACAGATGAGACCATGGTACACACTGGCTTTAAATTCCGATGAGAGAGAAGAAGCAGAGTTGCCAGAAGATCTGAAGGAGAAAAAAAGGGGGATTTCCTACCAGCTGCCTATTACAGATACTCAGCCAGTAGCAGAGAATGAATTAAACTATATTTGAGGAATAGATGAAAACATACAAAGCACAGAGCTGATGAGAACGGGAGACCTGAATTGACCACATACTGTTTTCAAGGATGGTGCTGCAATACAAGGACAATCAACCACATAGTTGGGGCGCATGTCTTATACATAAACAGATACATCTCCAATTAGTCAGATTTTTCTTGCCAACCAAAGGGGCACTTAGTGCCACCCATCTCTGTAAAGGTCAGTTGCAATTCATAGCGTTTCCGCATTTGATGATCCATTAGTTTCCATATTATCTATCATCAGAATGAATAGCAGTGCTTCACATAGAACAGGAGCATCAGCTTTAGTAGGAGTACTGTACACTGAGAGGGTAGAAACTTCTCTGAACCCATTTTCCTGTTGCAAATTTAAACATATATGCAATTCTCATAAAGAGTTCTTATGCCAAAACAGCATAACCACAAGGCCAAGATGACATTTGGGACGCACTCAAACTAAAGGCTAAGATGGAAATAACACTTTGTTTCAGATTGTGGGGGAACTACTAGGGCAAAGGATTTTTTCTTCATACATATTAGAACTGGCTACAAAGTCTGAAGATCATTTGTGAAATGATCACAAAAAAGCTTGCTACAAAAAGGAAGGTATGAAAGCAGGAGAGTAAGGATCAATGGGCTTTAACAGTTAAACAAAGAAATGGCAAGCAGATTTTGTTAGGAATATAATCCAAATGATAAAGGTGTACTGCTTGAGAGCTGGCAGTACTGACACTTTATTAAAAATATAATGACAAACTGTCTCAATATAGATGAAAGATAAGAAGCACTGCAAGAGAATATCGTAACTAGATGTGAAGCTCTTTCCAGATCTGGATATCAGAATGGCATTGCAAAGAAAAGTAGTGGAAAGAAGACACACAGCCACAGAGGACTATAAAGGAATAGCCCAAGCATGAAAGTATACAATCAAAAAAGACAATTGCACAAGCTGCAGCTAGCAAAAGACACAGAATACAATAAGAAAAATACATCAGAAGCACATGGAGGCAAAGGTAAATACAAACGCATGGCAAAAAAAGAAAATAAGAATAGAAAGACTAGACTAGACTAGACAACAGAGGAGAGGAAAGGAGAAGAGAGGAGAGGAGAGGAGAGGAGAGGAGAGGAGGGGAGGGGAGAGGAGAGGAGAGGAGAAGGCTCTGGTGGGAATCAATGCATAAGAATCAATGCATATAAATATCTGAAGGGAGGGTGTAAAGAGGATGGGGCCTGACTCTTTTCAATGGTACCAAGCGTCAGGATGAGAGGCAATGAGCACAAACTGAAACACAGAAAGGCCCGTCAGAACATAAGGAAAAGCTTTTTTTCACTTTGAGGGTAGCAGAGCACTGCAACAGGTTGCCCAGAGAGCTTGTGAAGTCTCCATCTTTGGAGATAATCTAAAGCCATCTGGACAGGGTCCTGGGCAACCTGCTCTAGGTGACCCTGCTTGAGCAGGAGGGTTGGACTAGATGATCTCCAGTGGTCCCTTCCAACCCCAACCATTCTGTAATTCTGTAAAAGGGAAGGAGAGCACTTAACAGCTGCTGTGAAGAAGGCTGATCTGATACTAACTTTGGTTTCATCTTCATGAATAAGGTGAAGAATATTTCGATGAATTAGATAAACTTGCATGAGTGAGGTAATCAAATCTACCAATATTTAAATAATAATCTTAAGTAACTAGCTTCAAAAAGTGATGAACAGTGGGAAGATCCCTAGGGATTGAGGGAGGCAAAGTGAAATATCTGTTCTATAAAAGAAAAAAGTATGTGCAGAGGGAAGAGTGGGAGAAACCCAGGGAATTACAAAATAGTCAGAATGCCTTTGTTTTTTATAAGAATTCTGGAACAAATGGTTAAACACCTATTTAAAAAAAAAAAAATTGTTAAGTGGCTGAGAAGCAGCCAAATAGAGCTGCCAAAAACAAATCTTGTCAAACCCTGACTTTTCTTTGTTTTCTTTACCAGGACATCTGGCCAAGTAGGTAAGAGAAAACTGTGACAGATCAATCTTGATATGAGTAGGACTTCTGACACTGTTCTCTTTGCTGTTATCAGGAACAAACCCTGAAAATGTGGTCATAGTGTGAATGGATCACATCATTGAGGAGAGCACTCAGAAGAGTTGTTCTCAGTACTTCACTACCAAAATGAGGACAGCAGGGCCGACGTTTCAAGGGTTGTCCTTGCAAATAACATCCTAAATCTGGTTCTGTGCATTATTTTCATTTCAGCTCAAGGAACAGTATTTATGGTAGGCATGAATGTACATGGATGACAAGTGCTGCAGTGGACAGGACTGGAATGCAAAGCGATCTTGTTACAGTGAACACGTATCTGAAATCAGCAAGACAAATACTGTACAGACAAGAACAGAGCTTTGTACTTAAGAAAGATAAAATAAATGCTCAAATAAACCCAAGGAATAACTGGCTAGGCAGCCAGGCTGCTAAAAAGCATCTGAGATTTTATCCACATGTGATGCTGTTGCAGAAGTACATATGTGATGCTGTTGCAAAAATAAATAAATAAACAAATAAAATGACAATTTTCACACGGACACATTCAAGGTACCTAAGCACAGAAGGCCATGTGTGTTGTAGATGGGTATACCAATGCACAAATGGCTGTCATCTATATTAAAAGATGAGAAAAAAGTGATTTAGTTTCCAGCAAAGAAGAGTTAGGTGAGATCCAAGATGAACACTTGGAAGGTGTTGACAGGCAGGAACTGGCTACCCAAAGAGGGTGTGGACTGAATGCTTTTTAAAAACTGATGAGATAAATGTCTCTTGGGAGAAGGTCATGGCATAACAAGATCCTAACTCTGAGCAAGGGGATGGAGGAGATGATCTCTCAGATGCCTTTCCAGCCATCCACACCTGTGATTCTAGGTATCCAAAAAACAAGTGAATGTTGGAGTTTTCTTTAAAGATAAGAAGATACCTGAAGTTAGGTTCTTTGGCTAAACGAGTTTTAAAAGTACTTTAGTAATGTAGGCCTTGGTTAAACAGTCATCTAGGCAACAGTTCGGGAGTTTTCACTTTCAGTGGGGCAGGATTACAGCCAAAGGTATTAGGGTCACTTTCGCAAATGTTAACTTCGGAGTTGGTAAGTCAGAATTTTGTGCAGAACGTAAGAAGGAATAGGCCCATAATATTTCTGGCTCTGCTTTTGGAAAAGCAGCAATGTCAGCTCTGAGCCAGGGAACGTTCCCGGTGAACACTACCAAAGCAAAAGAATTTCTGTGCTGTTAAAAAAGGACATTGCAACCTTCAGCAAGTCTCAGGAAATGTTTTGTCAGAAATGTGGTATGTTTCCTGTCACAGAAGAAGGGTAAACTACAGAGAAGGGTAAACTATAGGCTAGTCTTCTGCCTGGAAAATGTTTTTAATTTAGTCAAAAGAATTGATCCTGATAATCTATTCCCCAGATTTAAACTGGATCCCTTTTGAGGTGCTGGTTGTTCTCAGCATCTTTCATTTTCACAGACCCCTGTGGTTCCAATTCTTGACAGAAATGTCAAAGCGATAGGGAGATGTATTAACATTTGGCTTTCATCTGGCTGAAGGATGTTTTCCATTGTTGTTATTATCATACAAATTACAACTTGGACTAAAAATGGCAATGCCAGCAGGACTAATAGCATCATAAAAAAAATTTATTCTAGTACTCTTTAAAAATATTGATTTAAAAGAACAATAAAATTTGATTTTTGCCTGCTGCTTAAAAGTAACATTTGGTTCATTCTAAATATCAAGCAGAAGAAAGCTAAAGGTCCTCAAATAATGAA